GGGTGGGGGTCCCTCTGGCACCCCAGGAACAGGAGGGGTAGGGGGTCTGTGAGGGTGGGGGTCCCTCTGGCACCCCAGGAACAGGAGGGGAAGGGACCCCAGGGGAAGGGGGGCTGTGAGGGTTGGTGTGCCCCTGGCACCCCAGGGGCAGAAGGGGAAGGGACACCAGAGGAAGGGGGGCTGTGAGGGTGGGAGTCCCCCTAGCACCCCAGGGGCAGGAGGGGAAGGGACCCCAGGGGAAGGGGGGCTGTGAGGGTTGGTGTGCCCCTGGCACCCCAGGGGCAGAAGGGGAAGGGACACCAGAGGAAGGGGGGCTGTGAGGGTGGGAGTCCCCCTAGCACCCCAGGGGCAGGAGGGGAAGGGACCCCAGGGGAAGGGGGGCTGTGAGGGTGGGGGTCCCCCCTGGCACCCCAGGGGCAGGAGGGGAAGGGGGGGCTGTGCCTGGTCAGTAGCAGCAGGAGGAGGGATTAGCTGGGGGGGGGCGGGGGGGGGCAGGGATACCAGGCAGCTCCTCTCCCCCCACCTCCCGCAGCAGCCCGAGCTGGCCCCAGCAGGGCAGGGGAAAAGGCTGCTGCCCCCCCCTCCTCCTCCTCCTCCTCCCTGCCCTCTGTCACCTTCCCTCCTTCCTCCCCCCCCTCCTGGGGTGGCCTCCCCCCCCCTTCCTTTTCCTCTGGGAGAGGGAGGGCGCCACTGGAGCTGGGGGGAGGCAGGGCTCCAGAGGGGAGGGGAGGCAGGGCTGGGAAAGGCTGGGGATTGAGAGCTGCAGCTAGGCCGCTCCCTGGGCAGGTTCCCAGCCCAGCAGCCCAGGGGGAAGGGGCTTTGGCCCCCAGGGGCTCGGATTCGCCCCCCTGCCATTGCCAGGGCCTGGGAGAGCGCAGGAGCCAGAGAGGGAGAAGGGGAAAGAGGAGAAAGGAGGTGGGGAACATCCCTCCCCCCAGCTGGGATGCACAGAGACCAGCAATCACAATTCAGCCAGAAAGGGACAGGCTTTTCCCCCCTCCCTGCCACTTAATGCAGTGAGAGAAGGAAGAAAACAGGAGGCGGGAGGGAGAGATATACAGGGACCTTTCAAACCAGATTTGCCAGCAAGCTAATAACAAGAATTGGTGCAGTATTTTTTTCCCCCCTTCTTCTTCCTCCTCTTCCCACTGAAAGACTCAGACAGAGGAAGAGAGAGAGGCAGAGAAGCGGATGGGAAAAGGGAGGAAGAGAAATAAAGAAGGAAAGAATCTCCATTTCGTGGAGAGGGGGATTTTGCAGGGACTGGTTCATTTTACGCTGCAAGGAAAAGGATATTGGGGTTCAGAGGCAGAGTTCAAGAGAGGGGTCATTCGGCCTGGAAAGGTGGAGATTGGGGAGTCTGTTGAGGAACCAAACCAGAATTGCTATTTATTTTCAGGGAGCTTGTGGATTTTTTGCTTTCGGAAGCCGGGTTTGCATGAACTGGTATTTTATTTTCAGGGTTTGGTTTGTTTTTGTTTTTTTTTTAAAGGAAGAAACTGATTTGTGTCAAGTTTTAGGAACCTTAAAATGCAGTTTGGGGGTTTAAAAAATTAGGACATCTTTTTTCTATTTAATTTTTGTAAGGGTTGAACTGGACTCAGAAACAATGTACATAGTATTGTATGATTTTTATTGATTATTTATTTTTCAATGATAGCAAGGAAAGACCGAGCTGTTACCCTAAAAGAAGTGCCAATTTGTGGAAGAATTTGAGCTTCTGGTATTTTTTTTCTGTTACAGTTTTTCAAGTATTAGGCTAGGGATTTTATTTTAATTTTTTTTTGTCTCTGCCCTGCAAACAGAAGAACAGCTGTTAAAACTGGATTATAAGGATGTTTTTTATCTGTGTTTTGCAGTTAAGACTTTAATATTTTGAAGAAAAACTGCTTTGTTTCCTTTTACATTTTTTCGACAGCATCTGTAACCTTGAAAAGACTATTTTTGGACGTAATAAAAAGGCAAGTGTGTTTTTTAGTTTTTTTCAGAAGAAAACAGGAGGGGAAAAATTAAAAAAAAGAAAAGGAAAAAAAGGACTATGTTCACACTCCAGCTCAAGATGGACCTGCAGCTTCCAGGATCTTGATCTGTTTTCCTCTTCTGGAATTTTTTTTTTCCGGGAGGGTGCGATTTTAAAATTATAAAAGCAGTCAAGAAAACAGAGGACCCTGGATTTTTGGATCAGCGAAGGAGACAAGAAGAATCATGAGTGTGAGGCCTCCGCAGACTGCACTAGACAGGTATGTGTTTGTTGGGTTATTTATTTTTTTGTCCTCTTAATGCTTGTGATTGAATATCAAATTTAGTGATGCTACTTTGGGATTTGGGTTCTTTTTTCTGGGCAGGGCTTGTTTTGAATTGAGCAAACTGTCTACTTTGCTAGTTTGAGTGTGATGCAAATGGGGGGAGGTTGTTGGGGGGCGTACTAGTGGTGCTACACAAATTGTGTATGGAGTGTTTTGTTGTGCCTGTGTGTGTGTGTGTGTGTGTGTGTGAGAGAGAGAGAGAGAGAGAGAATTGGTATGTGGGCTGTGAGGATTTGCAGGCTGGGGGAATGTCTTGTTTGTTTGTCCACAGGGGGAATTGTGTGTGTGGTTTTTCTACACAAAAATGCTTCTAAATAATTTTACTCTCAATCCTGTATGCGAGTTGCTCCCTGTCTGGGTCATCCCCTCTCCCCCACTGATCCTCTGTTTCCATCTCCTATGCAGACTGCAGTGGGCTGGGCCTGGGCCTAGTTTAGGATGGGCATTATTCCATGTATGGTACCCAGGTTCCTCTGCAGACTGTGTGGTCACTTGGTAAATTACCTAGATTCACTCCCCTGGAAGAGGAAATGCCCTCCCTCTCTCATGCACCATGTCAGTACCTGATCCTGCAGTCCTCCACCCTGGAAGTTAATGGGAGTCTTGACTGCAGACGTGACCCCTTTAGCATGGTCTCTGGTGCCTGGAGTAAGGTGGTTGCAATCTGCCAAGTGACGTTGGGGAGTGTGGATAAGCCAGGCGGCAAGTGGGGTGCAGGCAGTGAGGTTAGTTGTTGCAGTGGGGGGGTGGTAATGGATTGGGATGGTGCCATGCATGCTGGGGGCTGGGGAAGGCCATTGGATTGAAACAGAGGGCAGAGAAGAGCATGGAGGGTTACTCCCCCACCTCTTCGCAAAACAAAAGTCCATGCACAAAACACTGCACCGATTCTTTCCTGGACTGCAATATTCTCCTTTCACTGCCGTCGTTGGTTTAATATCCGCCCGTGTGGAAAGACACGAGATAAAGCAGGTATTCTAGTGTGTGCTGCATGCTTGGGTTCTATTTTTATTGATTTATTTTTTTGGTCCTATCCCTTTCTGTGCAGCTCAGAGGATTTTGATCATCAACACACTCTCAGATTTCTAAATGCCACCCAAGCAGGAGCTGATCCGTGGAGTTTAAATCTCTCACGCGTTTTCTAAAAGTTAATAATCATGAATAATATGCTGCATTTTTAAAAATAACACTTGTCATCCTCGGAGGAACCTCACTGTGCCTAGAAGCTACAGGCTAGCTGCATGCTCTTCCTAGCAGGTGTAGTGTTTACTACTGCAAGTAGTCCCACTCAGTAGCAAGTACTAGTTAAGGTCACACCTACACTGTAGGTGCTGCAGCTAAGCTGTTGTAGTGTAGATGCTTCCTACAGGGCCGGAAGGGGTTTTCGGTTGATGTAGGTAATCCACCCCTCGGTCGGTGGTAGCTAGGTCGACAGAAGAATTCTTCTGTCAGCGTAGCTGCGTCCACATTGGGGGTTAGATTGGCGGTCAGGAACGTGAACTTTTTGAAGCCGTGACGGCCGTAGCTAGGTCAATCTAACTTCTAAGCGTAGACCAGACCTCAGGGTTTTGGGAGATAGCTTCACGCTGAAATGCATCCACCTCTAGGGTGGAGGATGTCAACAGCCAATGGTGAGAGGCGAAGAACGAACCCCTTATTATGAAAAGTGCCACAGGATCTTTGCGGCGCCTACAGCGCTGTCTCTGCTAGGATTTGAAGTGGCTTGTATATAAGCACGCTGCGGTACTGGTGTCTCTGACACCTGCCTCTGGTAGCAACTGGCTTTGGGCTGGTAGCTTTAGTTTTCCCTGAGGACTGTTGGCTGTGCAAACAGCAATGGTTTTTCTCTGTCCGTTCAAGCTAAGCTACTCCCTGTATTAGAACAAATACAGATTTTGATTAGGCAGGTATTAAACCCTGATAAGTTAGGGCCTGGTGATTCATTTACTTACTGATATTTCTCTTGCTCTCATTGCCATTGTAGCCGCGTTCCTGCAGGCAAATGAAATCACTGCCAGAGGTGGGGCCTCACCCCCAGGGCAGTTAATACTGTGGGCAAGGTAGAGGGGCTGGCTGGGGGCGCTACGCTGAACGTTTGAAGCACCTAAACCACCTAGAAATTGAAATCTTTCTTGGCCGGGGTGGGCCCAGAATTCTGTGTCTGCAGGATTTCAGCTGTCGTTGAAGCTTCTAGCCCTTCCGGTTATGACGCTATAGCCTTGCAGCCGCGACCCCAGGCAGGGCTGTCTGAGTCTGCATGCAGGCCGCCCCTGCGCCTCTGCTGATGCCCGGAGCTTTTCGAAGGAGCTGTGTGATTGGCAGGAAAGTGGTAGGGTGCACAGCTGGGATTGGGACAGCTGTTTATGGGGCAGAGGACAAAGGACCCCAAAATGGAGTAGAATAGTGGGAGCCCCCCCCCCTTAATCTCCACTGGAGCCAAGATGCCGGGGAAGTGGGGGATGATAGGAGAAAACAGTGGATGCCTAGCAGACGCCATTCCAGTCCTTTTTACTTGTCCCTGATGGCTTCTGCGCCCATATTCCACATTCACCTGCGGCCCTTTGCCACAGCAAGCTCTGACATCGGGGCGTGCGTCGGGGTTCCTTTTTCCCCCCAACAGCAGAGGACCCAATGGCCAGAGGCTTCTGAGAGAAGAGCACGGACAGCACCCCGGCGGGAATCCCAGAACCCTTCCCAGTAGCTGTGGTGGGTAGCAGGTGGTCTGAGGGTTTCACTCCAGGCCACAGGAGGCTATCAGACATTCCTAGCATTTGTGTCGGCCCCCGGGACGGTTAGTTTGTTTGGTTTGTCCCTGCTGATATAACGCGCGCTGGACAGCCGGTTACATTCTTCCTCTGATCACAAGAAGCTCATCTCAAGCCTCTGGGGCCAGCAGTGGTTTGAATCCTGGAAGAGACCCTGCGTATGTGATGGCCGACACACTGGGGGTTGAACTGGGCGTCTCCAGAGCTGCTACAGCTTGAGCCAAAGAGTGAAGGGACTCTAGGAGGGGCTGTAACAGATTCCTGTTCCCTGTGGATCAGGCACAGGGTTGCGGGGTGGAGACAACTTTGTTTAGCTACCTGGGAGCACCATAGTTTACTCTGTAGGACTTTCTAGCCAGGACCATAAAAACCTCCGTGCTGTCTGCTTTGCAGGGGATGTTGCAAACCTTGTTAATGTCTCCTCTTCCAGTTGCGTGGCGGCCTGGACGCTGCTGGGCTTCCGCCCTGCACCGTGCAAGCAGCTCCAGTTCCAGTAGTGCATAGCTGGCGTGAAAAACGCAACATCAGGGTAGCACCCAAGGGCGGCCTGCTGAAGCGAGCTAGTGGAGGTACCTCTCTAGCTCGGCTGGACGGTCACCTGCCTGAGAAGCCGTTTTCTAGTCCTTCCTCTGGCGTCTCCTGCTTGCCCCGGGATAGCAAGTGCCTTGCTGGTGGTGGTTTGTACTACTGTAGTGCTTGGGAGCCCTAGACGCGGACCGGGACTCCAGCGTGCTAGGCGCTGTACAAACAGAACTTTGACAGGTGCGTGTTCTGCCTAGCTGGGGCGCACAGGGGCACGGCGTGCCTAGGGAGTTAAAGGAGAGTGCTTACAGAGCGGCTGCCTGTTGCTCATACTGGGTCAGACTAATGGTCCGTCTAGCCTGGTAGCTTGTCTTCCGACAGCGGCCAATGCCAGGTGCTTCAGACGGAGGGAACAGAACATGCAATCATTGAGTAATTCATCCCCTGTCGTCCACTCCCAGCAAACAGAGGCTAGGGACACTCAGAGCATGGTGTGGCATCCCTGCCCATCCTGGCTAATGGCCCATCCTTCTCGGTGTCGGTAGGGCACTGGTGGCGAGGGGGGCGTGATGCCTTCTGTGCCCTGCAGGTGTGGGCTGGTGCAGGGGGCAAGTGAGGCATTGATAGCGCAGGTGTCTGGGGTAAGCCTTCTCCCTCGGAGCCGTATCACGTGATAATTGTGAGTCCTTGCACAGCGTTTCTCATCCAGGGATCTCAAAGCACTTTCCAAAGGTCGGTGGTGGTGATCAGACAAATGAGGAAACCCCTTGGCTCCACGCCGTACAGTGGGGCTCGCAAACAGAACCCAGATAGAAACAGAAACCTTGAGCCGTAGCCTCTAGGTCGCACTCCCTCTTGGAACTGGAAATAGAACCCAGGAGTCCTGACTCCCAGCCCCCAATGCAAATTGCTAGGTAATGCTGCTACCTTGAGACTGGGGTTCGTGTTGTAGAGTTACAAACTATACTGCCCTAAAGAGCGATGGCTCCTTCATTACACGGAAAAGGAAGTGTGGCCAAAAATAGAAAGGAAAAATAACAAGGTTTGTTCCTCTGCTGTTCAAATACCTTTCGCTTGTCACGTATCAGGAACCTTTATGCCCCGATGAGTTTGCAATTTCTCCGCGTCTCAGTTGGGGAGGGATAGGGCTGAAACGCAGCTGTACTGCTAGGCCATGGTGATGGGCTGTCAGTGGGGAGGATAAGGAGGAGGGAAGGATTTCTGCCCTTTTATCCTCTGCAGGTTTCAGTTCCTCGCAGGTTAATGAAAGCAAACTAATCGGCTGCGATGTCCGCAAAGCACTCTGCAATTTTGCTAGTTAAATCTCCCCAGGAAGCGGCCCACTTCTGCTCCAGCGCCGCAAATCAGATTAACTGTCTGTACCAGACAAGCGTTGGAGGGGGTGGCTCAGCAAACTACGCATCCGTCTCCATGGAATCACGGGTTCAAATCCGTGCCTGGGTCCTCTCAGCTCTTCATCCTTACAAGGTCGAGGAATTCAGCTCCCCGCTGGCTACAGCATCGGAGACGTTAATAAAACAAGATCTGGACTCTTTCCCCCACACACCCAGGTGTTAGAGGGATGCAAAGGTGATTCTTTTGTAGGAGAATGGGATTGGTCCTGCCCACTGCGGCTGTCGTGCTCTG